TCACTTTTTCTCCTTCCCGAGTAAGATTTTGGGTAAAATTATTTTTATGAAAAGTCTATCTACAAGATAGGGCCCAGGCTAAATTTGTCTCTCAGATTTAAAGCCCATCTCTCTCCTTTCTTGATTTCCAATTTCATGCCTTTGTAGATTTTATTCTTCTTCACTTTGTTGTTTTTTACAGGGAGTTCAAATAGTAGACTTACCTGTGCTGTTATTTTTTCAAAATATAAAGAGAAATTTGAGAAAAGAACAAAAGGGGAATATCACAAGTGCTGGGAGGGTCCTCTCCACCCCACCTATATTCCTTTTCCACCTTCCTCTTAACTATTAAAATCAAATTCCATGAAAGCCTCAGTAACCAGGTTCATTCCCTGTTAAATCTGAACTAAAAGGAGAAAGAGAAGGATCCTAAAAGAAAACTTGTTTTTGAAATTTAACAATGAGTTCCACTGGAATAAACAAAGATATTTTTGATGAGGTAGTTAGAATATCATTTGAATTAAGACCTTTATTAAGTTCTTTCCTTCTGTTCCTTTTTCTTTACTTTTTTTTTTTACTTTCTTCTTCCTGTCTCTTCTCTTTAGTGAACACTCTTCCACTTTCCCAACTATTTGAGCTCTGACTCCCCCCTCTTAATGTCAAACCCTCTTCTAATTTCCACAATCTTGTGCCTTATCTGTTTCCCACTTTCTCAGGGAAATAGATGTGAAGAAATAAAAAGGAAAAGGCCAATGGGAAAAACAGGTAAAACAACCTGAAGGTAATTCTTTACAATTATAATATAGATATAAAGATATCTTCCTATATATAAAGGACAAGATAAGACACTTTAGTAAAAAGTCAATTTATTAATTGAATCTTTTGATATTGGGTCTCGTTCTATTGTAGTAATAACAGACATGGAATGAGTGTTGCTGGTTTTGTGTGGTTTCTCCTCTACAAAATATAATATCAGCACAGGGATAAAAAGGAGCTTCAGATGGGGTTCTAGATGAGAATTACTTGCTGCTTTTTTTTTAATATTTATTTTTATTTATTTATGCATAGAAGAAGTGGGGGGGTAGGCCAGATACATAGGGGTTGAGAGGACTCAACCAGAGACAGAGTGGGGAGCAGATCGACGAAATACACTGCTGAGGGGAGTGGGGGGGGGGGGTCAGGAGAGGTCTGCCACACCATGTGGTCACCTCCAGGGCAGGGATCAAACTCATGCTGAAGTGGCTGTAGCTTCTCAGTGCTGTGCTTTAACCCGCTGCGCAGCCAGGGAGGGCTCTACTTGCTGCTGCTTTTACACATGACTCCTTTCATTCTCATTTCTACTCTTTCTCTTTGCTTCCTCATCTTTTTCTCAAATTGCCTTCTTAGACTAGTCAATGCAGACAAAGCCTCAGTATTTCAGCCTCATTTTTAAATTTCTATAAATACAAATATTCATAGAGTGTCCACAGGGCCACCATGTCCATTTGGGCAGTTGTACGCTGCTGTGTTAGAAGCCCCTCTCCCTTTGCAGTGAGACCTGCTGTATGCAGTGGGCCTACCATATTCTAGATTTCTCTGTGACACCAAGTTTTCAGTGAGTTACTTACAATGAAACTTATCTAAGCCATGCCCATCTCATCAGAGTTCTGCTGATAGAACTGAGGTGTGCATTCCTCTGTCACTCTACTACTCTATTCCTCTGTCACTCTGCTTAACACTCAAGCACTTAGTTTATTAACAAAGACTCCCTGAAATGCACAACTTGGGCCAGAGGTTCAGACCAAAGGAAGAGAGTAACTGTCATCCATGCACATTATCTCTGGCCTCTGCATATACCCTTAGCCTGTGCCTGTTCCTTTGTCAGCTCTTTTCCCTCTGAGGTGTACCCTTAATGCTTCCTAAACTCAGTCTAGGTAGTGGTCAACAATGAGGTGGTGGTGCACAGGTGGACCTGTGCTCCTGCACCCACATATGGAGAGTACCAACCTGCCAAGTTCAATATAGTACAGAATTTAGAGATTCTTGTGATGATAAACTAATAATGAAATATTTTTACATATTTCAAAATATGGGTTTCATTAAGAGATCTGCAAGAGCAAAGGACAAAAATGATGACATACATATTTATACATATACATATTTAAACCTGACTTCTGAAATTTGAAAAGTGGCTCCCAAATATGTAAACTCTGAATTTCTGATTTCCCATGAAGATGGGAAAAGGATGATTTTTTTTAAACAATGAAAAATTTTGTTACGAATAAAGATTTTTTATTATTACAACTGAAATAATGTGAGTTACTTTGTCCCTAATTTACAATGAGCATAGACTATATGCATATAAATCTCGTGTAATACATAACATTTTAATTCAGCACAACTTAACAACTTGGAAATAATTCAATGACATATCCATATATCCTTTTTTTAAAAAAAAGATTTCTTTTTATTGGGCCTCCCTGGTGGTACAAGGGGTAAAGTCACAGCACTATGAAGCAATCTACAGCCGCTGCAGCACCATGTATGCAAAAATAAATAAATAAAATTTATTTTTATTCTATCCCAGTTATTTATGACAAATCTTGTATGCATAAATATATTTTAAAAGTTATATAAGACAATTTATTTTTATTTTATGCCCCAGTTATTTATGCATATAAGAACTAGGGTATAAGCTTAAAGGTATGGTGGGGGTGGTGAGAGGATTCACCAGAGACAGTAGAGAACAGAACAGGCAGATCCACTGAAATACATGGTTGAGGGGAGCAGCGAGTGAGACAGGAGGGGTCTGCTGCACCAGGTGGGCCAGCAACCTGGCTCTGGATCCAACTCATGCTGCAGTGGCTGGCATCCATGAATGTGATTGCTTGATAGCACTGATACTTTAACCCCTGTATCACCAGGAAAGCCCTGACATCTCTATAAATCTTAAAGTATGAAAGTCCTTTATCTTAATCTGAGCATTTTAAATTGTTATGTTCTTACATGGGTAGGCAGAGCTTTTTTTTTAAGGATTTATTTATTTGTGCATACCGGACTGCAGTACAGGCCACAGGCAGTACCCCAGGGGCAGTGAGAGAATTCACCAGAGGTAGAATGAGGACCAGAATAGGCAGATTGATGAAGTACACTGCTGAGGGGAGCAGTGGGCAAGACAGGAGAGGTCTGAAACACCATGTGGGTCACCTCCCTGGTCAGGGATCAAACTTGTGCTGAAGTGACTATGTCTAGCTTCATAGTGCTGCACTTTAACCTGTTGCGCTACCAGGGAGGGCCCTTATAGAGCTTTTAAAACAAAATGTTTTAAGAAACTAAGAAGTTTCTTTAAACACTTCTTCAACCTCTAAGATTTTATCTGCCTAAAGGATTTGTATTATGCTAAGAAGAATGTCTTGCTTATTTCAATCACTTATTTTACTTGTTCTTAGTTTTTTAAGATTTAGCTCAATAGTAACTTTAAAAATTTTCTATATTTCAAATTCTGCAATTGACTGAATTGACTTCATCTTTTTTTTCCTTTTTGGACAGATAAATACAAACTACTAAACTGGAAAGCAAGCACAGCTCAAGAAAGAAGGGTCAGTGAAAAAGAAAAAGCATTGTCTTCCATGTGGCAGAAATAAAGGCTACTACTGACCATTAAGCACTTAAATCCATGTCAATCTAACGTCTTAAATCTTACTTATTATAATTATGGGTATTTATTTTAAAGGACCAGTAGGGAACTCAAAACTATAGGTGTTTTATTAACAAACTCAGTGTTTATCTGAAGGGTTATTTTCCTTTTGGAATTGAACAAAACTTGTTATTCTCTTAGGTTAATTTCTTCTTTGGACAGTAATCCAACATCGAACGTGTTTCTATCATCAGGTACTGTAGGGTCCTTGAAGATGGAGTTCATGTTCCTTCCATCTTCATGTTCTAGGTGAACATCTGACCTGACAGTTTATGCTCCATGAATGTCATTGCACATTTTTTAAAAATTCCAATACTATTTTAAAAACTGCAATCTCCATCCAAAAAAAAAAAAACTTGTATTTTTAAATCCACAAATTAGTTATTTTCAGAAGGCTTCACTCATTCTTCAATGTACTCAGCACATGTTCTCAATCTTCAGTATAATCTTTGGAATATTATTACTTTACAGTTTTTTTTTTAAGATTTATTTATACATACAGAACGGGGGTACAGGCAGAGCAGCAGGGGCAGTGAGAGAATTCACCAGAGACAGAGTGGGGAGCAGTAGTATATAACCATTGAGCTCTTGAAATGTGGTTAATGCAATTGAAAAACTGAATTATCCTTTCTTACTCTCATCTGTATCAATAATGAATTTATGGTAGCTGGAGTGACCCAGAAAACATTAAAAGGAAATGGTAAAGAACAAATAGTTTTCTTCTCTCTGTATATGCTACACTATCTCCATCTCACCACATAGAGCACCACATAGAAGAAAAATAATCGTCTTTATGCAGAAATTATTCCAAAGACAGGGTAGTCATAAACCAAACATTGACAAAGCTGAAGTTTTTCTTTATTGAGTTCCGTCTGTGTGTTACATACTGCTTTAGATGTGCCAAGAATCTAAAAATAAGTAATGGTGAATAAAATAGGCAAAATCTCATCACAATTTACATTCCTATTTGGTGATTTAGACATATACAACATGTCAGACAGTGAAAAAGAACATGAAAAATAAAATGGAGTAAATCAGCAAGGAGTGCTCCTTTATCTATGGTGAAACAGGCTTCACTGATAAGATAACATTTGAAATCAGACCTACAGGAAGTGAAGTAGATAGAGTAGGCCTGTGGAGACTGGATATTTCAGCTGTAGAAATAGCAATGCAAGAGCTTTAGGGGAAAAGACTACTGCAATATGAGAGACAGCAAAGGAGCTGGGATGGCTGGTGCTGGGGTAAAATGAGAAATGGGAGGAGTAGTATGCTTTGAGGTCAGTGAGATCACATTGGGCTACAGGCTCCTGAGATAGTAGTGACTCGACCTCACTTATTTTAACAGGATCAGTCTGGTTGGTGTGTTGAAGAGAAGATGCAGTGTGAAAATACCTGCTGCAATAGTCCAGGCAAAAGATGAAGAAGTCTTGGAACAGAGTAGTAGTAGTAGGGTTAGTAAGAAGTGATTAAAACTTGGATATGTTTTTGAAGATAGAAATAACAGGATTTTCTGATGAACTGGATGGATGTGTAATGTGGAAAAGCAAACAAAAAGAATCTGAAAAGAAGAAAACTGGAAGAACAGTAAACAATCTGAAGTGAAGTTTGCAGTACTCTATTAAAATGGAAATGTTAAACCAATAGTTGAATATGATTTGGGAGTTTATGGCAGAAGTTAAGTCTAGAGATAAGAGTTGATAGGGTAGAGATGAAATTTGAAGATCAGATAAAACCACATTAAATAGTAATAGAAAACATGATTAAAAGAGGAAAAATTATGTATATAATTCTGGGCATTGTTCTAAGCACTTCACATGTGTAAATTTATTTAGTCTTCACAACCACTGTCAGGCACATTTACATTTATTATATTCATTTTATGCCTGAGGAAACTAAATCTTGCAGAAGTGACTTTCTTCTGATTGAATAGCTAGCAAGGGAGCTGAGATACACCAAAGCAGTGAAAAATAATATACTGGACATTAGCGCTCTCAGACGCTCCAACTTTTAGCATTCAGCATAATGCTGCATAAAGAAAATCCAGCCAAGGAGACCAGAAACATTCCCGATGGGTAGGAGGAGAAGGCTAAGTGGTATTTGAGGAACCGGGAGTACAAAAGGAGAAAATATTCAAAAGCATCCAATGCTGCTGGCAGGTCAAGGAAGACTGAACACTACTATTGCACTTAACAAAGTGGCTCTAATCAGTGGCCTTGACAAAGATGTTTTGAAGCAGTGGTAGAGTTAAGGCTCAAGCACAGTGTGTACAAGAAAGAATAAAGCACAGAGTTCAACTCTTTACAGAGTTCAGTACAGGTACCAACAAGCCTAGATCCAATCACAGGTGTGGTATTCACATAAGCAAATGAACTAAAGTAGCAGTTGAGATTTGCTACACAAACAAAATAGAAATTCAGTTGGGAATTTGGTGGGGGAAAGATATGCTTAATCTTATAGTCCTTTTCAAGGAGAACAAACTTGGTTTCCTTTCTCTGGGCATTCAGTCTTGTTCTTTATTAGAAAAAATTTTGTAGCTCCAAGTTTACCTATCTCCTTTCTCTAAATTGAAATTTCTCCTGGACCATGTTTTATTCATCTACATACCCCTGAGCTAGCACAGGAACACCCAAGATAAATAAAAGTGTGATAAATACTTCTTAGCATCCTAAATATTGAGTATCCTCCCCTGAGGTGAATTCTTAACTAACTCAGTCATTCAAATTGATTAACTGTTATGTTGGTCTTTTTAAAGACAGGTATAAGATCTTGATATTCCTATCATTGTGAAAATTTTTATAGTAGTATATTCTGTCCCTTTCCCTGCCCTCTTCAATAGCAATACAATATTTCCTAGTATAACATTTTACTTTTCTTTGAGTACCTATATTCATTTACCATACTTTCTTTTGTATCTCTGTCTCACGTAAAGTCCTTAAGGACAGTCATATGTCCTTTCAAAAATCATTAGCACATTGCCTAGCACACAGGAACTAATCAATATATATTTTTAATTGCTGAGTGAATATTTATTGAAGTCAATTGGTTTGAATGCTACTGCCCTATTGATGGTATTGATGCTAATTGCAAACTGGAATCCATACCATAGGTGACAACTACAGAATGTTCTTAGCTTAGGGACATAATATTTTTAGCTAGATTTGTAAAAGGTAAAGAAGCACTATTAAAACACCAAATTAATTTTAAAAAGCAACAATGAAAAACAACAAACAAATATAAACAAGAGACATTTTACCCGGGTGGAGAAGGGAACAGGATCAAAACTGGGGTGGGAAATCACACGGGACTAAGGTGATAGCACTTAGGTGAGTGGGTGGTAGAAGTCCACGGGGGATTACAACTGAGATGGAAAAATGCACAAAATGTAGAATGATGTAAAAATAAATAATACATAAATATATTTTTAAAAACCCACGAAGCTAATAATAGTAACAAATTCTAAACCCAATTAAATTAGCAAAATTCATAATTTTTTATTATTGATATTAAAAATATTTAGTTATTTAGTGATAAGTTTGTTTTACTGTAACTTTTTGTATATATCTGAGTATTCTTCAATTGACATTATTTCTGATCATCTGTTTCAAGGAATTTAAATGACTAAACTTTTAATTCAGTTATGAAAACTTGACTTTCACTAATGCTAGGGAGTAAGCTAGTTAAGGATTTAATATATCATAGTGACTGACAGAATCCTGAAATTTGAGAATTCAGAACTTTGCAAGTGGTTAAAATGCAATAATAAATTTCCCAAAATCTTTGATGTAGTAGATAGCACAACATTTTATTACATAAACATCTATAAGGAGATTTTATAAGGGCATGTTGGCAGGTGATGGGTTAAACAAATGCCAAGGTGAGGGTGGAAAAAGATTAGTGATTGTGGTTACTCTCTGGGGCACATCAGATTTTACAGTTTGGTTTTCACTATTCACTCATAATACTTAGTTAAAATTTACCGGAGTAACTCAATGGGTGAACTGCCTTGGGACAGGAATGAACAATTTTCCGACATGGTTTTTTAAACCACGGATTATTCATTTCATTCTATTTTGGAATGAATATTTTATTTTCTTTACCTCTTATACTCTCCATGTTAAACTCCATGTACAGAAGTTATCATAATCTTAAAACAAGAGAAAGCAAAGTTGTTAATGCCTTTGTGTTACAGATAGAAAGTTTAGGCCTAGGAAACTAGTCATGTATCCAAAATACGTAACTAGGTAGCAGCAAAGCTAAAACTCAAATTCAATCACCTTGTCTCCTCTTTCTATACTTTCCACCCTTTCAACTAATCATTTGTGTAATTTAAGAATTCTTAGAATGTTTCCATTCACCAAAGAAAGCATATTTTAGATGCCACAAGTTCTATTCTCTTTAAAAATGAAAACATCTTTAAGAGGTTAAAAAAATTATTTGTACAGAGGAATTTCAGCATATTTTGAGATCAATAGCTGCTATCCTACAGTGATACAATCATTTCATGAGAGTAGCCAGTCAGTGACAGGGAATTCCAAGCAGCAGTAGAAGTAATCTGGTAGCTGGAGAGTTCATTTGAATGGCGCAATTTGCAAAACTGCTTGGGGCCAGGTAATTGGAATGTAGGGGTAAAAAAAGAGACTCAGTCTATCTGCCTATTCTGTTCCCCATTCTGTCTCTGGTGAATCCTTTCACACACACACACTTCTACACCCCCGCACCTCTGGCCTGTACCCCAATTCTGCATGCATAACTAAATATTAAAAAAGAAAGAAAGAAATGCAATTTCTTGAACATTTAGATCAAAGGTTCTTAACTGGTGATGATTTTCTCCTCCGAAGGAAACTTGGGCAAAATCTAGAGACATTTTGGTCACAAATGGGACTAGAGTGCTACTGACATCTAGTGAACAGCGATCAGGAAATCAGGAAGACTGTTAAACATCCTATAACAAAGTATTGGCTGACCAAATCTCAAGATCACTAAGGCAGAGAGACTGTGGACAAAGGAAGAAAAAATCATGGAGAATCTAGAGGAATCTTCTTGAAGTGTTACTTATTTTATGCATTTAAGAATTAGGAAATAAAACAAGTCACAGGCATAACTAACATTCCCTCCTCCCCCCTTCTCCCTGCTCTTTTTAGACGTGGTTAACATTTTTGAGAGAATTCTAGAGACAGTCTAACTTTTTATTGGACATTCCACAAATTCTCATCACATCTTTGTGGAGGAGTGTGTATACCAAGAGGACAGTTCAGTTGGATAGATTTGGAGTAGGTTGTCCAACTGCAAACTACTTTTTAGTAGACTGAATTCTATTGATAAATATTTGATAGCAAAAGGACTAAGGTTTGAAATACTCTGCAGCTGAGTTTTGTCTTTGGCTTGGTTTAATTGTTATAGACAACTTGAATAAAGACTGAGGTGGAATGCTGGTCAGATGGGGATGTTAAAAAAGAACAGGGAAGAATAGGAATACAAATAGATCTTGGCCACTGGACAAACCGTCAAATAGTTTACTTCATTCGGGGCATCACAAACGTCACTTTGGGTTAACAGGAGTTGACAACAGAAGATACAGTGGAGGAGATAAGGAAGGACAAGATAATTGACATATCAAAGGACTTTTTGCAAGATCGGCTATGTACAGTGTGCCCCTGAGGAAAACCAGAAACAATAGGTTGAAGTAATTTGTATATTTTGATCTAATAAATAGGAGCACAATTTGACTAACAAAGATTAGAATTGTTCAAAGGTGTGATGAGCCTTGGGAGGCAGGATTTTTGCTTACTGTCATTCAGAGACCACACCATGACTAGTTAGTGTCAAATTGTGTTTTTTTTTAAGGTTTATTTTTATTTACTGATGTATAGAATAACTGGAGTGCAGGGGAGAGGTAGGGAGGCACGAGAGGATTCACCAGAGACAGAGTGGGGAGCAGAACAGGCAGATCTACTGAAATACACCGCTGAGGGGAGTAGCGGGTGAGACAGGCAAGGTCTGCTGCACCATGTGGGTCAGCTCGCTCGCCAGAGATCAAGCTAGTGCTGCAGTGGCTGGCGATAGCTTGCCAGTGCTGAGACTTAACCCCTGCTCCACAGGGAGGCCCGCAAGTTAAGTTGGCTGTTACTTTTCCTGAGAACCATTTCAATTTTGCCTTGAATTCTACCCCCCTCCCCCCCATAGCCTCCTTCAGCGCCGCCCCATTCAGATGGTAGCAAATTTGTGTCCCTGGAGGACAGACTCGCGCTGAATGGGAGTCGGCCTGCGGCACGCTGGACCCATTCACGTGAGTTTTGTCAAACAGCTGTGTCCCTGGGCAGCCTTCTTTTCTGGTTTGCAAAACTCGGTTCTAGCAGAACCAGGGACTGGATAATGTCTCGGTTGTTTTCTTAAACAAGCACTGGATTGTGTGAAGTATTTCACTATAGAGGTGGAATCGCCTCAAAGGGAACCGATTTTCTTCAGGAGCTGACACGGGACAAGGAGGGAGGAGTCCAGACTTGTTAGACTATTAGCCCGCTGCTGACTACAGTTAGGGAAACCTCGATCTCAACACAACCTAGACAGCAAGCACAAACGCGAAAGGGAATCCCCAATATCCACTTTGCGTTAACAGTCCGCTTTTTTATAGTCAGAGGCGCTCGCCTGCGCGCGCGCGCGCGCCACCCGCAGCTGGGCGCTGCGGAGTGGACCAATGACAGTGCTCTCTCTCCGCGCCGGCTCAGGATTGGGCGATCCGCGCCAGTTTCTCGGCCAGGCGGCGGGCGGGGCGCACCGAACACTGCCCGCGATAGGCGCGCCCGCTGCGCCAGAGTCCCGGGAGCGCGTGCGCGGTCTCGCGGCGGCCGCGGGGGCCGGTCTCGCGCGGTCTCGAGGTGGAGTCGCTGGCGGCGGCGGCGGCGGCGACGGCGGCGACTGGCGGCGGGGCGGGGGCGGGGACTGAGGATTGTGAGGTGGGGAATCGGGAGTTTCTGGATTCTTTATCCGGTATTTTAAGTGCCGCTGGGGAGCTGTCGTCTCTGCAGTGACTGGGAGCGGCCGGGGCTGGCGGGTCGGCGACCGCCGTGGCGCGGAGGTAAGAGGCGGACCGGCGGCGACTCGGTGTGGGAAGCTTAATCAACAGGTCCCCGGAGAGCGGCGGGGGAGGGGCGGCGGGTCGCCCCCTCCCCCACGCGCCGCCCGCTCGGGCCGGGGCGGGTCGGGGCCGTTCAGCTGGCTGCCCCGAGCAGCTGGAGCCGCGGCGGGCCGCGGAGGGCGTGAGCCCAACCTTTGTCCCTCCGAGGAACGCTGCCCGGAGGCGCCCGCTCCCTTTCCCTTGGCGAGGGACGCACCTTGGCGGGGGCTGCTGCCGGCCGGAGTGGCCGTGAACGCGACTCGGAGCCGTCGGTCCTCTCGCGCCCCGAGCTTGCGACTTCAGGACTCGCGCTTGACCGGGCCGGGGACCTCGCGAGGTCCACTTTGCTTTAGAGCCGGAATGTAGCCGGCGTCCCTCTGCCTGCCGCGGCTCTGGTATTCGGCTCTTTGCGTTCTTTGAACAAACACCCGGTCCCACTTCCTTGTGGCTACTTTAAAGGAAAGCCCAGTCTTTGGATTTGGATACTTTGAGATTGCGAAGTAAATTTTGAAGTGTGCGCCTTTTGTAAGCTGTACTTCATGAAAGATGTTTTATAGAGTCTTTGGTTTAAGTTACGTAACTTACTCCTAATAAATAATAACTCACCCTTCCTTCTGTTGAGTTGATTGAGTTACAGTGACAGGAACGGAACTCAGGTTTCGGTGGAAGACCTCTTGGCAATTGGCGCTAATATTAAAATATGATAGGTAGGAGATTTTTAGGAGCAGTATGGAGTGTGTGATTTGTCTCTACTGGTTTATCTAAATTGTGAGACTTTAGATTTGGAGAGGCTGTAGAACAAGGCTTCGAAAAATTGTTTTACTGTCTCAGGTGAAAGGCATTGATATTTCTCATTTAAAAAAACTAATATGTTTTAATGATAGGATCCTTATTCTTTTGGAATAATATGAATAGGTTAACAACCTATTAAATTCTGCAAATGATACGTTGGTTATTGGTGTCTTTGAAGTATAAATATTGGTGGTAGTTGAATTGTTAAATGAGCCTTTTGGATTATGAGCTACTGACTTTACTAGATCTTGTGGACATGGTGTATTAAGAGTTTTAAAAGGCCCTCTATAGTAGCAGACTGAAGCTATTAATCAATAATGTAAAGATTATTATTAGATGAAACAAGCAAATCATTTTATTGTATTTTACTTTTAAATCAAGTAAATATTACCCTGTACCAACTACCTTCCTAACTTTTGCCTGGACAGACCTACACTTGAAAAAGATGGATCATTGATAATATTAACTTGTTTTAGAATGTTAAAATGGGAGAGGATGTATATTTTAATGAGCTTGGTAGCAGTTTACATGCTCTTATCAGTTTCTCTGATAATTTCTGATTTCAGGGTGTCTGGGGAAAAGTTCCTCTGTGTTCTTTAGAATATAGTTTTTGATCATATACTTGTTGAATCATAACACTGTTGAGTTGGAAACAGTCTTAATGGTTACACAGCCTAACCTTCATTTTCCTGGAAAAGCAAAGTGAGGTTTATAGAGTTAAGTAGTCCATAGTCTGGCTACTAATTAGTGGCAAAATTGGAATCAAGTGCTTAAATGCTTGTCTCCAGATTACAGTACAGTATTCGTTTTATTATATCCTGTTGTTAAAATTAAAAAATCAGTAAGATACCCTTCTCAAATTTATACATGCAACAGCAGAGTTTATTTTTTTTTCTTTCCTTTTTAAAATAATGACTAACCACAGTCGATTAACCATACTTAATTGACTCTCCTTGAGGGGTTTTTAGTTTTGCCTTGTTTCTAGCATTGTACAGTGGTTACCTTTATGCATGTCTCCTGAGGCTTGGGTGAATGCTGTGTATCTGCCTGGAAATGGAATTGCTGGGCTTTAGATCAGTGTGCATTTTCAACTTTACTAGCTACTGCCACAGTATCCTTTAAACTTGTAACAATTTACATTCCTGCCAACATGAGTCATGGGCTTCTCATCCTTGCCTTCACTTGGAATTTTCAAATTGACATTGTCAGATTTTTCAAATTTTGATGTACTTATTTCAAAAAGATTTTATTTAACTTGTTTTAATTTACATTAATTAACTATTTTCACTGTTTAAGTGTTTTGACAAATATCTAGAGCTTTATAATACCAAAATCAAAACATGTGACTGTCCTGTCACCTAATTTCCCTTTTATAGCTTTTATATGTGGTCTATTTTCCCATGTTCCTTGGCAGCAGATGATCAGTGATCTTTCCGTATAGTTTGTCTTTTCTAAAATATATTGGAAATGGACTTATACTGTATGCCTTTTGAGTCTGGTTTCTTACATCTAGCATAATATATTTAAGATTTTCTGTATAATTGGGGTGTTCATCCATGTTTAGTGAGCTAGCAGTTCCATCTGTTTTAATGTTGAATGCAGTATTTCATTGTGTGGATTGATCACTGTTTATTTAATCCATTGACCAGTTAATGGATTTCTGAGTTCTCAGGTTTTTTGGGTGGCTGTGAATAAAACTACTATAAATTTTTGCCTCTCAGTCTTCATTTCTCTCAGGTGAGCACTTACAGGTGGAATTGTATGTTACTTGTAAGTGTATGATTAATTTTACCTTTTTTTAAAAAAAAGTGTCTGTGGTAGACAGAATGGCCACAGAGATGTCCTGATCCTTGGGACGTATGACTAAATAAGGTTACATGACAACGGTGAATTAAAATTAAAGCATCTGGAATTAAAATTGCTTACCAACTGACTTTAATAGGAATATTATCCTGGATTATCCAGGTGAGCTTAATGTCTTTAAAAGGAAATGAGAGAGGCAAAACAGTCAGAAAAAAAGATGTAACAAAGGAAATGGGGCCAGAGAAATGCAGAATTTCTGGGTTTGACAATAAAGTGGGGATGATTGTATGACAGTGTTCCAGTTTATGTTCTCATCAATGCTTGATACAGTCAATCTTCTCTAAATTTTAGTAATTCTGATAGGTATGTAATAATAGATCATTGGGGTTTTTAAATCTGCATTTCTCCCATGATTAATGATGTTGAGTGCTTTTTGTGTACTTGTTTACCATTTGTATATCTTATTTGGTGAGTAGCTAAATATTTTGGCTATTTAAAAGCTGGGCTTCCTTTTGTTGAATTATAAGAATTTCTTTATAGTCCTTTGCCAGATACATGATTCACAAAGATTTCCTCTATGGTTGTCTTTTCCTTACTCTTAATTGTGTATTTTGAGGAACACATTTTAAAATTCTGATGGTCCAAACCAGATTTGTTAAGCCTCTCACTTTAATATATCAGAGAACTCTTTGCCTGACTCAAGGTCACAGAGATTTTCTCCTGTTTTGTATGGCAAATTGAGCTAATCAGGCTTTTTACACCATTAGTCTCTTTGCCCATCACCTGCAACCTTGGTTGAGTTAATGTAGAAGGTGCTTGGGAATGTGGGTGCAGGACACAGGTGCCTGGTTGTGGATACCTGGGGTATGGGTACAGACATGCAGAAGTGCACACTTGGGACTAGAGGCCAGAGATACAGGGCAGTGTCACTCAGACAGATGTAGGCTACAAGATGAGCAATGTGACTGCAGAAGAGGCAAGACCATGAGGTGATTTGAGAGGAATGCCAGAAAGAGCCTAGAGAAATAGTGTAAAGATTTGTTGGGAGCTGAGAGGCTTGGTTGCCTGCTTGCCAGTCTCCCTGAATGTTGTGCCTGTGTACCTGGTTCCTTGACAGAGCATTAAATCATGAAAAATTCATCAAAGACTCTGGGACTCTCCTTTACCCTGGCCTATGCTTGCTGGCATAACAGTTTTCTTCACTTGTTTTATGTTTTACATTTAGACTTATATTCCATTTTGAGTTAATTTTTTGTCATAAGAAAGGTGTGAGTTGAGTTTCATTTATTTGTCCAGTTGTTCCAGGACCATTTGTTGAAAAGACCATTTTTTAATTGATATATTGATAATTTTTTATTATAATAGTTTACTTTTACATCATTTTGTGCCTTTTTCCATCTCAGTTGTAATTCCTGTGAACTTCCCATCACTAATTCATCCGTGTGCCATCACCATAGTCCCGTGCACTCCCCCCACTATTTTTGATCCCATTCCCCACTCCACCCCGTAAAATGTCTCTTATATATAGTTGTTCGTTATTATTATTTTCCTCTTTATGCTCCTGCTGTGAGTGAAACCATCCAGTATTTTTCTTTTTCTTTCTGGCTTATTTCTCTAAGCATGATCCCTTCCAGCTCCATCTATGTTGCTGCAAAAGGCATGTGTTTATTAGACTATTCTTTATCCATTGAACTGTCTTTGTCTCTTGGTCAAAACCATTTGACTACAGTTGTGTGGGCTTATTTCTAGGTTCTAGTATTGATCTAGATGCCTATCTTTTGCTTATTACACTCGTGATTACTGTTGTGCAGCTATCCCAGGCCCAGTAGGTTCACCATTGGTTCTAACAGCATAAGAGAACTTCAACTGTTATTAGTGCACTGAACTAGGTACTCTGCGAGGATTTGCTTTCACTTAAAGACTACCCGCATAATTTTTGTATAATCTTTGGAATGTAAATGAAACTGCTGAAAGTTGTTTTTCTTCTTTTTGGTTTCTTTCAAGACAGAGCTGAATTTGAGACTTTCAGCTTCCCTTTCCCCTCTGAAAAAGTCTATATCTCTTCACAGATCATAAGCAGAGATGCTCTCTAGGTGGTTATTGGAGTAACCTTACCCTAATAGCAGTTAGTTGCAGAATTGGGGTTTAGATTGCAATTCCCAAATTCATAATTATTCATTTATTTTCCAGAAAACTATTGTCCGATTGCTAGCTCTGTTGTTACTGGCTTCTGGACTCCTGAAATCTAGTTTTTTTTTTTCCATTTCCCCCCTAAAATGAAACAGAAACTGTGCCAAAATAAAATTTTATTAAGAAAAGGTTTTGTTCAAGTACAGTTGAAGCTTAGAATACAGATGCATTATACT